ACATAGTAATTACTATGATAGCCAATGTACAATAATAATTAATATATTTCAAGTAAAACGAATGCGTTGTCATATATCATATAGAGATCATGTAAGCGTCTCGTTTTTTAGTGATTTACAATAGATTTTTTCAATACACTTAATATGTTACTGTTGGCATTAGAATATAGGAAAATAATGTTATAACTGGAATATGTGTGACTTTATTTATTTGTGTAGTAATAATAGATGATTGTCTAACGAAATATCGTAAATTTTACCGTTTTTTAAGTTATTTTTGTACATAGAGATGTTTGAATGAATAATTGAGAAGTAAGTTTTATGTTTATCGAAGTATTCGTTCTTAAAAACTAAGTACATTTGTTTCAAATAATTTTACTTTTGAAATATTTTTCTCATATATATAAGATTTAAGAATTGTTTTGATCTTGAAATTGAGAGCATTATATTTATAAGAAGTTATATACAGTATTAAAAATATTTCTTATAAAGAGAATGGGAATCCACATTTATAAAATCTAGGATTTTCCTACGATCACATAATACATGTTACTAACGGTAACTTATCTTGAATATCTTAAAAGAAAGCAAGATTCTTTAAAGTCGCGTTTATAATCTTTGAGCATTTACAATGTCAATAGTAGAAATGAAATGTCTATTTAATTGTTTTAGCAATAAGAAAGTTATAAACTAGTCGTTCATAAACGATTATAAATATAATTTTATGGCTTTAAGTTCGTCTAAAATTAATCTTATAATAAATTGTTTTTGATAAAAATATCATCTGTTAATATTACTTATTTGGTTTATTTTAGATTTTATTTTATTATTTTTCAGATTATTATAAGACATATTTATACATATTTTTTAAATTTACCTTCATACATTTCATTTATTTAAATATATTATTTGTTTACCTATATCTAACGCTGTTTCTTGAATTCCTTGATGACAAATCAAATGGCTTATTTAATTTCTTTTTTTCCACATATGTATATAGTATTTATATAATATCCTTTTCCGTTATATAGCTATGTCGAAACAAAGGCGGTCATTATTAAAAGATGGCGTCGCGTGAGTCGTCCAATTTACTTATTAGTCTGATTAGTTCCACGGAACCAAATCCGGCCGGTGGCTGAACTACCGATGAACGTGGAGTATCCATCGTCATAAAAAATATATATCAACCACAGATTATATATATATTATTATACATTTTTAAAAATTATATATATTTTTGGCAGAATACGATAAACCTTTGTCTATAAGTCAGAAAATTAAAAAGTTATATTTCATTGACAATTCTTAACTCGTCATTTATGTCATGTGTACAGTTTATTGTGTATGGTATTTTTTATAATATTTTTTTCGGTCTGCTCCATGGTTTTTATTATAATACTAGTGTTACAATATTTCGCCTCATTACAGTGTCAATATAAGATTAGGGATAAATCCGAAATCAACAAAAAATTAAAGCGTATAAGTGCGTTTTTTATCTCTAGCTCTGAACAATTACAGCCGCAAGATAAAATACAATTAGGATATATTGGAAAGTTCGAGTGTGTTTACATTTGCTTTGGTTCCGTATATAAATATCAAAAGAAAAATTAGTATATAGGTAATGTACTAAAATTTTGTAAAACACAATATTTTTCTTTTTGGGCTTAAAATATTGAAATTATAAGTATTTTGTTGTTGTATGATGAGTAAAATGTTTTTTTCTTTATCCTTTTATTACAAAAAAACTTTATTTAAAAACACAGTGTAAAGTACTAAGGCCCATTTGTAACAGTTGTTAAGGTTGACTATTTTAATTCAGAAATAGTTCGCAATAGTTTTTATAAATTTTTTGCTCACGCTCCGTTTTGGCGCCGTTTTCAAATTATCTATTTACCTATCATAATTTAATAGAAACGGTTCCTTCAAAGCGGTTTTCGGTTCCCAAAAGCTGTCGAATTCGTAACATCGGTCTTGTGATTACAAAACCCCTAAATAATAATATGCACCGTGGCTTGATTGACAGTTCCCTGCGGTGAGCCTTTTCGGTGCCATTCGGTGAAAAAAAATACGTAATTCCCGATTAAAATTGGAATAAACCTCCTTGGAGAGAAAAAAATTTATCTCGATTAAAATTATAATAAACCTCCTTGGAGTTTAAAAAGTATAACTCGAATGGAATTTGAATTTCGAATTGCAAATAATTAGATGACTATCAAAGAAATCTGAGGTGTGTTAATCGAATTCAGAATTAATAATTGTTATACAATTGCCTAATTCTCTATTTATACCAATTTTAAGGGGATTTATGTTTTCGTTTTACTCCATAATTTTAAATAATACATATAAACAAGTATTTCAAATATTTTCTTCATTGGTTTTTTTATTGCTTTCAAGTATTTAAAGCTGTTCCCGAGTCTACTACGTTCCAAACAACTTCGATGAAGTAAGCTCTTTGTTATAATAGTTCAAACACCATTCGCTAGATGGCATTGACAATAAGAATTTCATTCTAGACTGTATACATGCTTCAATTCTTATTTTACGAACAAACATTATTTATGTAAATCTATGTATTGATTTGTTTATTTCACTTTTAACGTTAAAATAAATATAAATAATATATACCATACAATTATTTATTTATTCCCAAAGAGGGTTGATGTCAGATAGGCGGCGGGTCGTAAAAACAATTAGCCAAAACTATTCACAACATGTAAGGCAGACCCTGGCTAAAGCTAGAAAATTGCCAGAAAGAAGAAGGCCATCCAATACCACCAACTTACATGAATTAAAAAATTATTTGAAAATATATTTTTTTTCAAATACTTATTTGAAATATATCTTACATGAGATAATAACGTCTTTATTGAAGAAAATTATACAATAAATTACAAATATTCAACATGTTGATAGCAGGATACATGAATTATATTTTTTCTTTCATTTTAATTGTTAGTTCGTCCTTGTTGGATAAACATTATGTATGTTTAATTAAAAACAAACAAGGTTTCTCTTTGTTTGCTGCAGATTATAAACCGAGTTATACTCTAACTAAAGATATATATATTTTATGGGACATTTAAACCGTAAAACGAAAATATAAAGCTTTTATGGATACTTGTACCAAAAATTTTACTACAAGCTTTTGAAACTAAGCACGAGCGGTAGCGATTTTTAAAAATATTAACAAATATTAAGTAAGGTTTTAAATAATAGGTTTGATAACTAAATTGTATAATTAACGAGATTATCACGTTTGCTGTGTTTTTGTTTTCATGTTGAGAAAAAAATATTAAATGATAAAAAAATCTAAGAATTAATTATTGATCTCATTTTTTTAAGATATCATCATCATTACAGCGGAAAGACGTTCACTGCAGGACGTAAGCCTCCTCAAAGAAAGATATTATATTCATTTAAATACAAAAACATTATATACAATCATTCACAATGAAAATGAAGTACAGAAATTTAATTTAAGTATATTTTTAATTACAAACACATCTCTTATAACTTGGACCATACATAATAATGGTATATATTCATAAATGCGTGATTTTCGGCAATTCTCTCATGATTTACGTCTATGTCACCGACAGCCAATAAATCATTTGTTTATTATTAACTAGTTCTATTCCCCGGTTATACTTCAATAGTTGGCAATAAATTACATGAAAATACACAATATTCAACTATGCTAATTGTATTTTTAATAAGTAATATATTTAAAGCTTTTAAAAAGATCGGATTAATTAATTTTATTTCATTGAAGTGTTGGAAATCGAACCCGCTACTAACATAGATATGATCTTAGTTGAATGATTTAGTTTAAAGCAAAATTACTCTGATATTCTTGTACGAAAACTGGTAGTATTTCAATTAAAACTCTATTGCAATTAAAATTAGATTAAAAATATTTTGAACTATGTACCTTCCTCGATATATATTGAATTATTATGTATTACTATAGGAATTAAAAAGTAAAGTATATTGAAAAAAAATTGGTAAAATATTAATAACTAAATATTTCATTAATATATATTGTGATCATTGCATAAATGTGTGATCGCTCCGACGGCCGAGGGGTGAATGTAAAATTCAACCCCTCGGGGCGGCCATGTTGTGACGTCACTATGTAATAAGGGACGAACTAGGGGTTGGAATAATATATAATAACATTATAATTTATAACATTTTTTTTCATACTTTTTAAAATTAAATATCACCATTACATGTAAATTCTTAAATTTGAAAATATGATATTATTGAATTTAATTAAAAGTTATAAATTAATAATATTTTATTTCCGATATTAATACACAAACACTCGCCTAGTCGATATTCGAATTAGAAATGAAAGTACATTAAAAAAATCCTAAAACAGAACCGACTTTCATAATCATAAACGTTGGAATAAAAAAAAAACTAAGCAAAAAGAAATTCAATTCCGAAAACATAAACTCCGTCCCTTACAGAGTGAGAGGAGGCTGTCGTGGTTACGATTGGTGAGTGTAGAGCGGCTGGGCGTCGTTGGTAGAGAGACCTCCCAGTCCCCGGGCCGCTAGCGGAGCCCCCACAGTGCACCCGGCGCTAGGCGGTAGCGCCGAACGCTTCACTCCACACAACACAACACATAACCAGTCTCGCCTGAACCTTCCTCGGCACGGACTTCCAATATGTATAGTGTAACTAGAATTAGTTTAATACAATACTAGTGAGTGATGTGTGATGTGACATAAATGACAGTGATGAACACTAAGAATATTTATGTTAAAGTGAAAATTGTTTAAAACGGACCTTTGACTTGTATTATATAGTGATAAAGAACAGTGTTGCCAAAATAATTAACAACGGCCAGTGAGTTATCAATTACCATCGCTCAAAAGGATAAAATGTACTGAATACAATACGCTCGCTTATATACAACTCTACAATACACTTGCTTATAACCGACTCTACAATACACTCGCTTACAATACGATGATTTAACATCCGTCAAGCTGTCGCCTCACATACAGCCGAATTACCAGCCGTTTCAACCGGAGGACGGCTCAGCCGGCAAGATAGCCAGTGAGTCGAAGTTGCAACTGTGCGGCTGGGGCGGGCAAGGCTACGCTTTGGACGGCGTGGACACGAGCCTGCTTCGGCCGCCGCCGCAGCCTCACGCGAGCCAGCTAGGGACAGTATACGCTACCAAGAGAAGACGGAGGAATGGAAAAAGGTACTTTTTATACCATACTATACGGATTAATTTAAAAAAAATATTTTCGTGCCAGCTAGGGACTGTTTAAACTACCAAGAGAATACGGAGGAATGGAATAAGGTACTTTTTATACAATACTATACGGATTTATTTAAAAGTAAAATATTTTTGTGCCAGCTACGAACCTTTTACGCTATCAAGACACGGATGAGGAATAGAAAAAGATACTTTTTTATACCATACTATGCGGATTTATTTTAATAATTCTTTATGATGTTGATTTTGTGGGTATCAAACAAATAATTAATTTGTTTAATAATTCACGTTTAACATGACAATAAATCAAAAGGCTGTTGTGTTTTGTGGAAAATGTTTTTTTCGACAAATAATTTATACGTAGTTGTTTTCATTACATGTTATATGTATAACGTAAAATATATACATTTTTTTTTCACGTTTCCTACTTTATTTAAACATTTTAAATAAATACGCTTACTTAAAAATAATTTTCGTACAAAAGACAAGACGATGTCCAAACATAAAATAAGAAAATAGTGATAATAGTCCAAAACCTAATTTTTTTTATTAAAAATTAAAGATCATAATTATTTATTTTAAGAATTTTAACAACATCCTACATGTATGTAAATAACTCAAAAGTTTTGACGTAAAACATTAATTCATAACTATCAATAAATATAATTATTGTAGAGTTTTTCAAATCTATTCATAAAATCTATTCTAAGTGTTACAGAAATAGAAACTGTAACAAAAACGAGAACATTTATATTAATGTGCAAAATTTTTAAAATTTCTATTTAAGCGGAAAACGTTTAGCAATTAAGATCATATGAATTAAGAATCGGAACCAATCGATTTTTAGGAAGACTCTTCTTGACGTCAATTTTATTATAACAATGAATTATAGTCTTTATTTACTAGACATTGAGATTAAATTTTGAAGATTTTATGATTTTTCACATGAAAATCATACCAATTTGATATTTTGTGTTAAAAGCTCAACATATATTTAATATGAACCACCGTCGTCACTGAAAACTTCATAATATAGTAATTTGTTTCGTATTTTTTTAATTTCATTCAAAATTTTCATTAAAAATAAAAGAGTAATTAACTAAACTATTCCATTTTCTTCATATTTCCTTGAATTACAACCTTTAATTATAACGTTGCTACAAAATGAAATTATAACTCAAAAAGCCATGTATAAATGTAATATATTCTCACAATAGATATATTTGAACACAACAATTATATCAAACTGTAATCAAACGTGGAAGATATAACGAAATCCGTATCAAAATGACCATTAAAAATTTAGTCACGGCCTATTATATGGTTTCGATTATTAATTTATGGTTTAATGGTTGTAACGAAACAGTTAAATCGTTTGACGTAAAACGTTTAACGAGTAACGGGTGTGAAGATGACTTGTTAACCAATTGTTAAAAATACGAGTATATCCTGCTTATTGATAAACAAATGAACTCATCTAAAACTGGTATTACAATGAAGAATATTGAAACTACAACAATAAGAGAAATACGTATTAATTTATCTTAAACCATTCTTTTTATAATCAACTTTTAAAATATCGAAAACATTCAACTTACTTTTAATAAATAACTATACAATGACAATGAAAGATCTTACTTAAGCTTGTTAATAACATTTATTAGACACGAATAAATTATGTTAATATACTATAATTTATGAGGGAATTATTTTGAGAAAGTTATCTTAATTTTCAATATTAATATCTCTCTGTCTTTACCAATAATTAAAACCGACTTTCGTATGATTTGAAGATAATAAATAATCATTATTTTAGTTTTTGCTGTTAGCTCATTATTTTCTGAATGAAATATACACTTATATTTTCAGTACTTATACTTTGTGCGATATTGATTCAAAGTATTGCAAAAACCACTCATACTAAAATCATTGTAGAAATAACTTAATAACATTTCCAAGTAATATTAAACGTTACTAAAATACTAACCAATCTAAAATTATATGAATATAATATATGTTTAATATTCGACAGTTGGATTCTTAATCTTACATTGATATAATAATTAGTTATAGTGTCATGATAATTAATAGTTGATAATATGTAAATGATAATACAGCATATGGAGCCAGTGACCGTGACACAGTCATTTGTTCGAGCAGCCATAAGACACTGGCCGTTAAACGAGATGTCATGTGTTGACGATTGACATGGTGCTTTAACGTGCCGAATAAACCAAATATATTATACAAATATACCGATTATATATGCTGATATATAATACACAATTTCATGAAATTCTTATTCCCTAACAGTTGTACTCTATTTAGGAAATGTACCTATAATTTGGAAGGCAAAAGAAAGTTGGTAGCTATTTAATATACCTTTAAAACATAACTATAATTTCCTATATAGCTAGATATAATTAATGAATAAAGAATGAACGAAAAAGATCTAAAAGACTATCATATTATAAATGTTTTTGTTAGCTACAAAAGTAAGTTAAAACGAAGTTAACGAGCTTAAAATACACTTTAAACACGGCCGCTTCATGAGAGTATATTCTATTAAACGTGACAAGAGACGTCAGTGGAGTATTCTGAATGTAATCATTCCGTTTGAATAATAATGAAACATTAAAATCAAGCAAGTAGAGTTCATACAGCGATACAACGACACCATCTGCTGCAGGTGAGAACTTATCGTACCGACTCTACAATAATTCCGTAAATAACTCTACAATAATACCGCTTATTTCACTCATACGCATGTTGTGTTTGTTTCTGATGTGTTGTATATATTTATATTTTTTTGTTTTATAAGGACATTGTAACCGCTACTTGTGAATTTCTTGAAGTTTTTCTGATCTGATAATAATTCTATTTTATTATGTTACTGTGAGGTCTGACTGATCAAGTATGAATAAAAATCATTTTTTACTTTCATCGCATTTACTTAGTTTGTTTGATTGATGGTATTTAATTTAAAAATTTATATATCAACAATAATTATGGACATTTTATAAGAAATCTTTAATATATTATAACGGAAACAATCATTTTGTAAATGTATTCAAGGTGTTTTGGATATTTGACGTTAAAATTGCACGAATTGATGTTTTTTAAATCGTTTCTAGAAATCTCACAAACCAGACATCTCTTAGACTTTTGTTCAATCTTAACTGACCCTCCAGCAATCGTCTGTCGATCATTGCCTCCAGCGAATTCTTTTGTCAAATTATTTTGTTTCAGGACTTAATTCGTATGTATTATTTTAATCCTTTCAATCCTAACGGTATTTAAACTACATGCTTTTTAAGTTCTGTTTAATTTTTATAATATTAGTGAAATTACATGCGTCAATTATAATCTAACAGGTTAAGGGCAAGGTGCATCACGAAGTTTAATACTTGTCTTAGTTTAAAAAAAGTGCACGTTTAAAGATTTTTGAGTGTGCTGCCAATGTAATTTGAAGCAGATGCAACTTTGTGCAGCGTTTGAACTTGCGAGTAACTTGAGCGATAATTAGAACGTCAAGTGTACAGTAATCTTACACAGTAATCATACCAGCTACTTATAGTGTTATAACCAAAGAAAAATTTTATAACAATTTTTGCTTTACCGCATGTTACTCTTCATGTTTTGTTTTATATATGTTTATAATGAATTGGATATTATTGTTAATTTTTTCCCTCAGATTCATCCAAATAAATTAACATGACGATTTTTTTATTATAAATCATTTTATACCACAATAATCTAAATTGTGTCACCTTTTAAAAATGTACAAGCAACACTAACTTTGACACATTCGCGTTGCATGATTACAAATGGTATATTTATAACCCGTGGACGTTATATCTTCATAAACAACTCAAGTCAAACAGTCATTCAATGAGGTATTTCCATCTTTTGTTTCAAAAATGTATAAAAAAAGTCAATTCAATGGAATAAACATAAAATATTCATAAGAATTACAATACAATTATAAGTATGTCATATAATAGCATTACTTACATAGAATATTGAATGGAGCATCGTTTTTTCTCAACTCGTACTTGGATCTATAAACAACTAGTCTGAAGTGTGAAAAACAATAAAATACTAGTTTCATATAAACAAGGAATTAATCAATTTTTGTTTGGTTACATTTTATCTAATCTTGTTAAATTTTTATGAAATTAGAAAGTGCAATATGAATTAACGAGTATACAAAATTTTTGAGCTTAATTTTAACAAAGTTAATTCTCTGTTAACTGCGGTTAATGCGGCGATGTCAATTAAACTTTAAGCCGTAATCTAAAACCGCGTTAAACGGACACTAAAAACTGTTTCGAGTAAAAACTATTTATGTAGGGAAAATTATAATGGCTAATTAATTAAAGATGCATTTCTGTCAATTACGTTATTTGTCAGGTCGGTTCATTAATATTTTTTCTCTATCTCAGTTCAGCGCCACCTTACCTATTTAACGGCAAAAAATAAATTGATTAAGTGGTTATTGTAATTTTATTTATCTGTCACCATCTTAATTGGCATGCCGGGAGACGGGAGCGGTTTAAAGAACTTCAAGTTACCATTGATAATTAGATCTAAATAGTTCTTGGCGGATGATAATTCATTGTGGTAACAAAAAATTGCAGATACGCTTTGAAATTAATAAAGTAAAAAATACGTATTGTTATTTCACTAATAAGGAAGATAATACTCTTGTGTTGCATATTATTATTATAGAAAAACTATCTGCATATTTATTTTTATAATAGCAGATATGTATTAGGAATAAGAAATTACGGATCAAATTAAAATAATTTTTGCCATCATACGACCAGTAATTATTTCATTTATATCCCTACTAATATTATAAATGCGAAAGTAACTCTGTCTGTCTGTCTGTCTGTCTGTCTGCTACGCTTTCACGCCTAAACCACTGAACTGATTTTAATGAAATTCGGTACAGAGATAGAGTTGACCTTGAGAAAGAA